TGAAAAGATTTGATGAACCAAAGAGCTACTTGTGGCTCTACCCTAAATTAAGTGAAATGTCCATGTCTTTAAGTTTAATTAAAAGTTAATGTTTTTCAAATTGAAAATTTGTATTTTTGTCTTAAAAATTTGAGTTTTAATTTACCCAAAATTTGAATTCCCTTACCATGTAGAAAAAGCAAAAAATAATAAGCTGCTGAATAAAAATAAAGATAAAATAAAGCAAATCTTTAAAATATTATGTCAATTTCATAATTCACATTCATAATTCAGGAACATGAAATATTTTTGACCTATTTTAAATAAAAATTTTAAAAGTTTTAATCAAAGTATCAGAACTTCTGCAAGCGTGATGAAACAGCGGATAAATTCAGCTGTAATAAATACGGCTTTTTTTTATTTAAACATTTGGTTCAAAATCACATTTAGAAGATGAAAACAGTGATTGAAACCATCACCTTCATTTTTAAATCACAAAACAGATCTGGGAAGAAAAAATTAAACGGGGCTATGGGAACCATCAGTCACTATGTCTGTTCCAGCGCAAATAATCAATAGAATTTCTTTTTCTTAGTACCAAGTTTCAGTACAGGAGCCAGGACCAGTTCTTCAGGGGTAATAGCCCCTGTTGGCCCCTGTCTAGAACCGTCCATGCCCTCTATCCATTCTAATGTTTTCTTAGTGTCAATGATGATTGCTGGTGTGTTTAGCAGATCCACCGGTATTTAAAAAAGTCCTCATTTGTCAAAGACAACAGAAAAAAAAAAAACTGAATAACTCCGCCATGAATATTCGTCAGAAGGAAATACAGCAGATAAGATCTGCTAATCAAATGTAGTGACTGACAGGCGGTGAAAACCATCATAAAAGGTGGAAAAACTTAAGAAAGGACCTCAGTGAAGCTGTTTCTGCTCAAAAATCTAGAAATACTAACTAACAAGGTAATTTGAAGATCCTCTTTCCACAGAGAGAATTTGTTTTTAAAGGATAATTTACCCAAGAACAAACTGTGGAATCGAGGTTTTTCCTTAGCCTATTTGTGTGATAAAATGTTAGTTTGAATAGAAGTAATTATAGAGAAATTCTGTACCATTCACTATGCTATGCTGTTTAAGGGGACAGAAAGCAGGTGCCTCCCCTCCCTACTCTAGATAAGGGTGAGGGGAAGGTCATTAGAAATAATGAGTTCACAAAGCCTCCTTCATGCTATGGTTAAAACTTATGCTCGTATCGTTCTCCCATCCTGTTTCTGGTGTGAAAGTAATACAGTTGTCTGAAATGTTTATCTGAGCAAATTTATGTCTTTTGATGAACTAAAGTGTTTCTCTTGGGAAGATTCAATGTTCATGTGTGTGTATGCTGTGGATTCTTTTTAAATGTAGGGGTGTGTTTCTGAATGCTTCAGAATCACACTCAGCTGTATTCAGCTGGTTTTTGCCATTCTCCTCTGCAGAGTAAAATAAAAAAAATTCTTCCTTGCATATCAACTCTCAGTGCTCATTTTTTTACTCCACAAAACGTGCAGGTTTGCTTCGGGCAAAATAAAATACTGAACAATCATAGCATCGTGAAAGGCTAAAGGAGAAAAGCTCTGTAAAAAGGATACCACTACCTGCTTCAGTTGGGTCTGAATGAAGAGTAAGACTTCTGTAACAATGTCCTGGACAGAGCTAGGTTATTGGCTTTTACACACGGTTCCATGTTCAACCTAATACAACACACACATATATATATATACATATATATTTTTTTTTTAAATGAAGATATCAACAGTAGGGCACAGCAGTGGAGGGCTGATATTTTGGGCTTGTTTTGCCACCCCTGGATCAACGCAACTTTCAGACACAGAGTAAGGCATGAGCTGCTTGTATATGAAAGTATTTATAGTCAAATGTGAGGCCACAAGTTGGACAAGTAAAGCTCACCCCACATCTTTAGTCATTTGACCACCAAGTATAAAAGCTGGGGTGAAATGGTGAAAAATAAACTTCTGAGAATAACTGCAGCTGGGTTTTCCATTTCTGCTTTTAACTATTTAAAAAATAATTACAGTATTAAAGCTATGGGGATTTGTCAGTGGGAGTAGAAAGTGTACTTAGTTTTTACCATGACTGTAGACCCAAGTTGGAATAGAAGGCAGAGATAAAAGTCTGAATGTTTTCTCCAGACGTCACAAAAACACGTCACATTCCTGAACAGCGGAGCAACGAGGCCCCCTGAACTTGTTTACAAAGTCACGTTGAACCTTACAGCGGATAAGCTTATAGTAAAAATAGAAGCACAGCTTCCAAATCCCTTCGCACCGACCCGCCACTGAGGGCCAATCAGCATGGGAGTCAGGTCTGGGCGCGTGGTGGAATCACTACAAGGATGCAGGATGATAAGTGTGCAGCAAAGGAGGAGGCGTCATATTTATAGCTGTAGCACCACGGCTGGCAACGGAACATGTCTTAATATAGTTATGCAACAGGCTCCAGCCAAACAGCTGGCTGGATCTTGTAGCAACAACATAGTACCAAAACAAAACACACACCCTGATAATAAAATCCAATAAACCTGATGAAAACCACCCAGCTTTAGCAGAATGAATAACATCACGTTCAATGATTTAGTGAATCAGCTTTCATCTGATTGGTCGAATTAAAGTCCTCTGCTTAACAGCTTTTTCAATTATTAATTAAAAGAAAACTAAGTGCTGGGGAGACTTACAGCTTTGAGGATGTTGACCGCCTCCGTGCTGAGCCAGGATGCGTAAACGATTTCCTCGTTAAGGATGGATTCAAAGAGGTCGTCTTCATTTTCAGCTTCGAAGGGGGCGTGTCCTGACAGCATCTCATACAGCAGCACACCGAGCGCCCACCAATCCACGGACGGGCCATAAAGCATCTCCTGCAGGATCTGTGGAATCATTACGGTCAATTTACCAACAGTTTCTGAATCGGGACAATAATTGGACAGAGAGAGAATTTTCACACCAGGTCACACCAGGTAATGATGCAAACATTTAATAAAAATTTCATTAAAAACTGTCATAATCTCAGGAAGTACTAAAAGGCTTGAGTCAGATAAAACAGGACATACCAAACATTTCACTTTTGTTGTCTCCCCGAAACTTTAAGTCGTACATAAATAAGTTCAATGAGAGTTTTTTCTTTATTGCACTTTTATTTTCAGAACCCTCTAACCTGTTACAACACAGAAAAAGCATCTAAAAAAACCTATATCCACAAGCTGGGCTTAAGTTATGGTTGAATTGGGTCAGAGACTTTAAGGAGAACTTTGTTGAATCCTCTGTGGTGTTTGGAGACGAAAAAGTCAAACTAAAGCATGAAGACAAAGGCTAAAACTGTTTTTTAATATAAAGGAAACATGCAGCTGGATGTGAATCTTGAGGAGTGAACAGGAAACATGCTGGCCTTGAACATGTGTTTCCTTAGAGCTAATCAGGACGGAGCTTTAAGTGACTGGCAGCAAGTTCAATGTTTGCTCAGATGGAGGAGGATCAACGGAAAAAGTGCATCAAATAAGGGCCAAGGATCCTTGCACGAGTTCTGAATGGACTCTTTCACAATTAGACAAATAAAAAGCTCACCGTTTTAAATATAGAGGTCAGAGTTTTCAGGTTATATTCTGATCTTAGACCTAAAATAAAAATGTGTTGTTTCCTACTCTGTTGCAGCAAATCGGTTTATAGTCAGAAATCTTTTGTAAATTTCCAAAATTTGAAAAAAAAAATTGTTAGGATTTATCTTAAAATAATTCAGATTCCCCCTAGGTGAGTTTCAGACAGTCGCTACGGTTTCAGACAGTCATTGAAGCTCACCTTTCGCACCGCATTGTTTTTAAAATGGCAGAGTGTCGTAAGAGAAAAAAGTGTCTATGAAGTGTATGAGAAGATAAGAAAGGCCTCAGAAGAGGCAGATATATCCTGGAATGATTTCGCGGAGAGCTCTGCGTGCAAAGCAGTATGGGATTTGCTGTCACAGCGGCCCGCTGTCGCCAGAAGCTTTCGTTACCCGACAGTGGTGACTAATAATAAAGATTGCGCAGCACCGCATAGTGGAGGAGGAGTTACTTCACCAACAGGGAGAAAAAGCAGTGATTAACTGTCCGAACGGTCAGTTAACCGAGTCCACTATATAGTCCTTGCTCTATATAGTGAGTGAGGGATTAGGGCGAACGTTCGGGCACAGCAAGCTTGTATGAGCTATGAGAACAGAAACTTTTAAACAGAGCAAGCACGAGGAGAAATGGGCTCGTGAACACGCATTTTTCTTAAAGTAGACAGGGTGGGTCTTTAAAAAATTACCAAAAATCCTCCAAAATACCTTTAAGCGAATCGGATCTAAATATAAAAACATTTTTTCACAGCCTTTTTCCACTTTAAATCAAACTACAGACTTTCCAGTACTCTGAAGGAATCGTTCAAAGTCAGGAGTCTGAAAACCTGTTTGGGGTGAGGATATGAACTGACCTCGGGGGCGATGTAATCCGGAGTGCCACAGAAGGTCCCCGTGGCCACGCCCTCAAATATACCCTCCTTGCACATGCCGAAATCTGCCAGTTTGCAGTGACCATCTTTGTCCAGAAGCACGTTGTCCAGTTTTAGGTCCCTGAAAGGCAAAACCAACACAGAGGGACACAAAATACTTCATTTAATAGGGCTTATTGTGATGCAGCAGAAAAAAAAAAACTATAATATAACCAAAACTCAGAGCCGCTCAAACGTCACGTTCTGCACAGCTTTCAATAACACCACAGATGCTCTTGTAAAAACTCCAGCATGATGTGAATAACAGAGTAAGAGCACATTTATACATAAATATTCATCCAGAGTCTATTTTTTCCTCCTTTGAACTTAGTCTTTGCTGAAAAGCAAATTATTCATAAAGTGAAAAAAAAATCAAAAACTTTGTATGCTGGGTTGTATCCTTGTTTCCCTTAAAGCATCATAATTAGATCATAAGTGACTGAATGCAGCACATTTTGTATTCCTGTTATCAAACTATTTGGCTAAAATGCACATGCATCTTTTTATCCAGCCTATATAATCATTTAGAAATATTGATGAAAGTAGAATGTGATCAACAGACGCACTAAAATGTATTCTCCAACTGTAATAAACAATACGTGAGTGGATTTAATCAGGTTTGCACCATTTCTGATTAAATTCACTCAGATTTTCCTCTGCAGCCAAATCCTCCCAGGAAATATCTCCTTCTTCATGTTAGTTTCAGCTGCTGCTTTGTCATCTGACACAGAGATTAAACCTGCCGAGTGAGGACGCCCGGGTTAAGCTCTAATCTGTGATCAGATGACCCAGCATTCATGTGAAGGTCGGCTTGAAGCTGCATGGATGAGGTTCAAAACAGAGATAAGAAACTTGGTTCACTTCATAAATGAGGAGCTTTTCACAGTTTTTAACCAGAGAAAAGATTCCAGGCAGCATGGACGACTTCTATGAAACGAGATGATGAATGAAGCCAACAGCAGCTGAAAGGCTGACAGCTGATTAAGCACTCACTGGGTTGGATTAATCTGGTTTGCTTTTTTCTGCTTTAAGACGGTTGGGCAACATTGACTCAGCTTCCCATGGTGCACTTTCCTCTTTGTTTTTCACTACTTGGTTAAACAAACTGGTCCTCGCAACCAGCAGAATGAGCAGTACTGAAAATCCTACAACATTTTGATAAAATACCTTTTTTACAGAGTAACTTCATGAAGCTGATATTTCTGCAGAAACGGAATCAGAATATATTTTAGCATAGAAAATAAAGCTCTGACTAAGCGCAGGATAAACACCAGGGTTTACAAATAGGAACATTTCCAGAGAGAAGCAGAGGAAGTGCTGACAAAAACGTTGACGCATAAATATAACTGTTTTCAGGCGGGGGGGCAGATATATAACTACTTGTGTAAAATCCCTCCACTCTGTGAGGTAAATGTTTTTTAGTCTGGCATCGGATTGTGGATTTTGAAACATAGCCTTTTAATCTACGCTATGTCGCCAAAGGTATTAGATCTTCCACACATGGAAAACTCAAAAAATACTTTTGGTTATATAGTGTATTGAAAATATAAACATAAGGGGACATGATGCATAAAAAAAAAAAAAAAAACATGATAACTAACTAATCTATTTGCCACTAGAGATGTGTCAATCCGATATTGGTTTGATTCACCCACAAAACTAATACTGGAACATATCAGCCTGCATCTAAAGCAGACCTGCCCAAAGTCACTGTCCTGCAGGTTTTAGAGAATTCCTGCTTAAGCACAGCTGATTTCCATTGATAGATGGTCAGCAGGCTTTTGCTGAACTGCAATCCTTAGAATCAGCTGTTCTAAAGCAGGGAAATCTCTAAAACCTGCAGGACAGCGGCCCTCAAGGGCCGATTTTAGACAGACCTGTTCTAAGGTCTCTGATATGAGCAAACTGATGGAAATGATGCACTTCTGGTTGAACTTTATGTAATCTATTGCTTAATAACACATGGGTCAGTTGTTCCCATACAGATTCCTCTTCACTATTAGTCTCCAAGTAAAATCACTTAATTAAGCCTTTTCTACTTTCTGCACAACAAAATGAGTTTTAAAAGTAGGAATGATTCATGCTAATATCCGATCGGATCAATATCAGTCAATAATTCAGGTGCAACATCAGCATCGTATTGATACCGTATGAAAAAGTCCACCCCTGCCAACCTGAATACATAGGAGTTGGTTGTATAATTAGATTCATTTATTTCGAGTTGTTTATAAAAGATAACAGCCGTAAGGACTATCTTTACATTTGGAGGGAAAAGGAGGAAGCTTGTATATATAGGAAGGCCATCCTAACTATAAAATATGGTGTTAGCCGAGTCTTGTTGGATGGGTACTTGCTGTAAGAGGGACCCAACTGATGGCATAAATAAGATCATTAATTAGTTGCAAATACGAAGCCATTTTATAAAGAATAATGTTCATTTAAAAACGCCACAGATTCAAGTAATCCAGCCACAAGAACAGCTGACTAAATATAAACTCAGCATTTAGGAGGCAGCATGAAGGTTTTTCCTAGTCACCTGCCTGATGGACAGGCTGTACATTTTATCTCATCATTCTTAAGTAGTTTTGGGATGTGAGCTGCCTGTAATAGCCGCTCTGTGAGCTGCAGCCTGTCCCAGGACACACGGTCAGCTATATATAACTTTGTCACTGTTTGCTCACATGACGGGCTCCTTCCCAAAGTACCATCACACGCTGGCTGCAAGCCCACCGCTCTGCCATCCGACCTCCTCAGGAGGAGGGAGAGGCGTAAAACCAGCTGGAACAAACCGCATCCAAAACAACGCTCTGCTTTCATTAACACTGATGATTTTTTTGTGGTTTTTTTTATACACTGTTCTCCAAATTAATAGCACCTGACTTTAAAACTGTTTGTTGCAAATCTTATTTAGATATAAGGCCCTTTTTAAGGATCTTACATGCTTTTCAGCATATTCAACAGTCCTTCCATGGACACTGCCTTCACGAGTTCAGTACATGGTGGTTTGATTGATATACTGGACAAATTCTAATACCTTGTGCCGCTTTAAATAGCAGCCCATCATATCAACTCTCTGATGGAAACCCTAATAAAAGTTAGATAAATATCTGACTAAACTAAACAAAGCTGAGGTATTTTTTTTTAAGAATCTACTGAAGATTGGATCTGCCAGAGTTCAGCTCGATGGTGTTCATCATATGGTGTCGGGTTAAGGTCAGGACTTTTGATGAAACAGAACATCCCTTCCTATCCTGGTAAAACGGGCTTCATTAACTTCTCTATATTGCTGTTTCCTTTGATTTCTTTAAGGACATGATAACATGTTTAAAACCATCAGACAGCGATTTTGTTGTTGATTTCAACAATTTAGTTTTTTTTTTCATAAAACAGAATCAATCCTTTGATTATTGGCTGCATTAGTTGAAATTTCCCTCAAGATATCAAGTCCTCCTTTCCAGGAAGTGCTGAAAATGCTGGACTTAAGAAAATACCAGAGAACCCAGCCTGAACAATGTTCTTTCTTTTTTTCATCTGAATCCAGATTGAGAAAACTCCATTCATCCTAATGCTTTGATAGACGCAGTACTGCTCAACAGTTCAGAGTGGATTGACCTGCCTGTTGGAGCATTAAAGCTAGTTATTCCTCCAGCAGACAGAGAGAAATGGAAACAGCAGAGCAGAAACAAAGGCTTCTAAGAAACAGATCAGCTTGGCAGAGCAGCAGAGTTCTGTCTGGCCGTTTTTGACTTAGGCCTCTAATAAATCTACGGTAAGCTTGTTCTGGAACTTTGTCTACCTGCAGCACATTTTGCCCTCTCTTTCTACAGATTAATGTTAATTAATAAGACAGCAAAGCATTTGTGCTGCTGAGAGATAATCAAACCTGTCCTAAAAGTTTAAATATTATTAATATTCATCCATCTTCTGCAACCTAATCTATCAGGGTCGCAGTGGGTGCCTATCTCCAGCAGTATATGGGCGAAAGGTGGGGTTCATCCTGGACAGGTCACCAGGCAACACAAAGACATAAAACCATGCACACACAAACACACTCACATCTAAGGAAAATTTAGAGAAGCCAATTAGCCTAATCAAACCTGTTTTGGACTGTGAGAGGAAGTAGGAGTACCTGGAGAAATCCCAGGCATGCACGGGGAGAACATGCAAACTCCATGCAGAAAGACCCTAGAGCAGGAATCAATCCAAGAACCTTCTTGCTGCAAGGCAGCAGTGCTACACACTGCCTCACCGTGCAGCCCAAGTTTATTAATATCTGAATCTTAAATATATATGAGTTATAGATGTCTCTTTTCAGCCTGTAAAATGATTCTGTAGAATGATTGTATTTTTTACACTTTATTTGTGTGTATCATTTTATTAAATGATTCAATAACTAGAGATGAGCTGATTGCAGGTTTCTGGCCGATCACCGATTCCTGGTCTTTAAAAAGACTTGACATGCTGATTCCGATTTGACTGCAACATGTTTTGTTTTTTTTATAACCGACACTGTCAGCTGTTATAAGATCAGAGGACACCTTTAATTTTTCCAACTTATCTTACAAAAGGCATTTATTAAATCACTGAAACAATAAAAACTTCTGAATAACTGCTCTTAAATATAAATCAACATTTCGAGCAATGATAGTTGTTAATTTTCAGAGCTTTGCAGAGGGTTTAAAACATCGGTTTTACATCTCGGTATGAGCTGATCCCAGACCTTCCAAAATTAAGTAAATCGAGGCTGAATGATCGCTTACTGTTAAAAGAAAAACAAACCTGTAGAAATACAAATTAAACCTTGACCAAGTTAAGAGTATGATTATTTCGCTAAGGATTAACCAATGAAGCTCATTATTTCCACAGCATAACAGAATGTCTATGTTTTAAGATATAAAAATGTATATATGGAGTCTGTAGCACTCATGAGAGAGAACAGTAGCCTATCACACCTGAATTTCTCCTTCAAGGGTGCTAATGTTTTCTTAATAGTCAACTTGCAAAGAGCTTTTTTTCCCAGAAAACATTGAGGAATATTCTGGGAACATAGTGTTTACTGTAAGTATCTAAAATCTGTGAGTCTGTAGCCTTATTTCTGGGGGCCTGTGTTTGTGTTTGGGTCAAACCTGTAAATGATTCCTTTGCTGTGCAGGAACATCAGAGCGGAAGTGATCTCTGCTGTGTAGAAACGCGCTCTGCCCTCCTCAAATTTCCTGGACTTCTGGATGTGAAACATGAGATCGCCTCCATTCACAAACTCCATCACAAAGAAGAGACGGTCCTGTCGTCAGAATACAAAACAAAAGTGATCCAATCATCATGTGCACAGAAGGCTATTTGTCCAAGGTGAATGGAGAAAGTCATTATTGGAAGAAGGCCATAACAAGTCTTGTTTCCATTCTGCTATAAACCATGCAGGAGACAGAGCAGACTTTTTGGATACGGTGCTACTTCTTCTGGTCTGCATGCTAAACAGAAAGTGGAGTAGAAAAACCTTCTGAACACACCATCCCTATGGTTAAACAGGGTGTTGGCAGCATTATACTGTGGGGATGAGAACTGCAAAGTAGGTGGAGTGATTACAAATATAACGTTGTTTAAAGTTGTATATAAAAAGAAATTATCATTAGAAACTATTTTTGGTAAATGGGTTTTAGGTTTAGGCTGGCCAGGTAACGCCTATGGTTTCCCCTGGAGGAGATGACCCAAGTGGCTGGGGAGAGGGACATCTGGGCCTCCCTACTGAAATTGCTCCTTCGATACCTGATCCCGGTAAACGGACAAAGATGTATGGATGGTTGCAACCTGACAAAATCCAGCAAATTCTAATGGCTGGAAATATTTTTACTCCTTCTTGTAGTTTGCTCTGTTTTGTGCCAATAACAAGCTGTACTTCCATTAGAATGTGCATCAAATGCACAGCAGTCGATGCAGGTCCAGCATATGCTGCAACAGTTTCTTCCCCACTGCCATCAGACTGCTGAACTGTTGAAAAAAGCTCTACATAATGTCACAGTCTGCATCACACTGATAACACTAAACCAAAAAAAACTGCATATTTGCACCATAGATATTAAGGCTCTGGACTTCCATATAAATGCGTTTTTGCACAATGTTTTTTTTCTCCCACCGTTTACATTTGATCACTGCTGCACTTTATAAAATGGAAATGTTTATGTACTGTCTGAAAAGCTGTACTAAACGAGATACACAGAGTGTATACAAAATGATAATAAAAGTTGTCTAAGTCCAAGTACAAAAGCACCGGACCTCAGAAAACAAAGCATGAAGGTTTTTTTCTTTTTCTACAATGAACCTTCAAGAAAATGTTGTCAGTTCTACTATAGTTATAATTTATTGTTAGAATGTTCAGCAATAGCGATATGCAAACCTTTTACCTTGATAACAAATGACAGAGTAAAAAAAACTAAACAAATTACACCTATGTCCGTTTCTACAGACGTAACCACAAGTCTTGCTCATTTCCTCTTCTTCTTTTTTCCACACCACCAAAACCAGCATTTACGTACACACCAGTCTAAATTAACAATTGTTGCAATGAGGCAATGGCACAGCGAATTGTTCTGCCTTGCAACAATGTGTGTGCGGCAGATTACCAGGAAAGAGCTGATAAGAAAGAAACGCTGAATTAACTAAAAAGAAGGTGGTAGCACAATCGTGTCATCAATTCAACTCTTCCAAGGAAGGGTTGAAAGTAGGTCAGAAATGATTCAGGCGTCTAAAGCAGATTATGAGCACCCAGTGTCTGAGCCTCAGTAACAGCCCTGCTGCTCCAAAATCAATCTCTAAGATAAAGGGCTGGAAATCTGCTGCCACCTGCTGACCAACTGAGAAATGCAATAAAAACTAATATGGTGTCATCAAGCATGGTGTCCTTTTACGGAGCTGCAGAGGGGACAACAGGCCAACATTCCCAGGATGACTTTAAGGTAGTAATGGCTGCTTGCTTTAGACGTCATTTGCGCTGCTTTAAGCATCTGACTTTGTCTCGATCTGTAATCACAGGCGTCAGCAAGTAGGGCCAAAAGGACACATTCTGATGGGTAGGAAATGGCCTGAGATAAACACATCCTGAGCTGAAATCCCCATAGCAGATTTCTGTCCATTTCAGCAACCAGTTTAGATTTTTACCGATATCTTTGCTTTGTTTTTTGTCAAATTCAACAGTTTAGACCAAGAGATTTTGGTTTTGTCCCTAAACTGTGGAATCTTGGCACGCCAGGTATTGTTTACCGATCTACTTTGTTCTCATTTAGCTGGTATTAATAAAAGCAGAAGCACCTAATATTTTGAAAAATTATTGTCTACGTGTATTTTTGTTCTTTTCAACAACATTTATTTCCCCGTTTCAAAATATGTATTTTAAAAAAAACAAATTTTCTCTCTAGTTCTGCATCTACTGAAGTACCGATTTTACAATTTAATTAGCTACTTTTATAGGTCAAAGAAATAGTAATTTATCAATGCATTAAAGACAGATCTATGATTAATTCCAGGTCGTGTTAAAAATTTTTACTTTTCCTCAAACAACGAAGTGTTTTGATGCATAAACTGCGGTGAGAGGCTGTAGCTGATTGTTTTTACTGACCAATCATCATTTAGCAGAGTCTCCATTTCAGTGTGTGACGCTAAATTGAACGCTAAAATAAACCTCAGACGAGGGAAAACAAAATAAAGTGCTGTAATCTGTTACGTATCGATCTCTCCTGAAATTGGGATGAATCAGAAATAAAGGAGGAGGATTTTCCACTGAGATCAGGAGGCCTCATGCTGTACTGACCGGTGTCTGGAAGCAGCAGTAGAGCTGCGTGAGGTAGGGGTGACAGCGGGCCAGAGACAGCACCCGCTTCTCTGTCATGGTGCACTCCACATCATCATCCTGCAGGATGATGTCCTTCTTCAACACCTTGATGGCGAAGACATGATCTTTGCCATTTAGTTTCGCCAGCATAACCTGCAGACACAACATGCACGACACATGGTTAGACATGTGCAGCAGGGAAATTCCTGCCTAACCGGGTCAATCTGCTTGATTTCCTGATTGCTCTACTTAAAAAAATTATATTTGCTGCAGTTCTGTAAGTAACTTAAAGTGCTTAATCATTAGTTTGGGGAAGATAAATATTAAGTAGACGAAAAAATATTTGTAATAATTGAGATTTACAATCTGTGCCATCTGAGCACTTTAATAGAAAGGGAAAAGCAAAATATATTTTCAAAATGTAATCTCAGAAGTATATCAGTCACATCTGATGAGATTTTAGTGCAAACTCAATACCTTAAAGCCTTAAAACATGCAGCCAACATTACTGGTATCCAAACATTTTGCCATGAGGGCCTTAAAGTATTTAAGGAGACAAAAAAGATTTTTATTTTACTAAAATTGCAAAAACTTTTTTTTTTTGTTTGTCAATAAGCTATTCACACAATTTTTCAATAAACAGGCAAATTATTTTACAAATGTTATAGATAAATTATCAGAGATTTAGCATTCTAAAGTCTTAAAATACAAAAAAGTATATATTTTTTTCTTGACTTTCTTTAGTCTTTACAGCAACATGGACGTGGGCTAACTTACTTTATTTTGCTAACTTGAATAATTTATTTTTTCTAAGTTTCTTTATTAGAAGAAGTTTCTTTATTAGAAGGCACCAGTTGTTTTTCGTCTTTTTTGCCACTAAATAAGAAAAAAGCAAAAAAAGGATTGCTAAAAGATTTTTAAAAAAGTGTTGCATCTTACAGTTTACTTTTTTAAGTTGTTAATGAAATTAAAAAAATATGCATTCTAATATTTGTATCTGCATCAACCACCTAAGCTGCAAAATCTAACTTAAGCTATTCTTAACTAGTGACCAAGGGCCGCCTGTAAACTCTCCCAGGCCACCTTCTGGACATCCAAACACATAAACAATTAATTTGTTTTAGGCTGTAAAATAACTGCTGTGTTTCTGGAAGAAATTTTTTTTTTATTTATATCTGTAAAAATTAAATTTTTCCATATTAAAAATGAGTGAATCTCCATCCCATCTTTATTTCTTTCCCATTCTTATTCCCAGTCATTCCCACCTTGCCGAAGCTACCCTTCCCAAGAACTTGAAGGAAGGTGAAGTCTGAGATTCCCAGCCGAGGGGTTTCTGGCTGGACCTCTGTGATGCTACTCTCCCTTCTCTCAGATGATGCCCTCCTTGGATCTTTAACCTGTTAGAAAAGAAAATCCACACTTTTAAAGATTTACCTAATGAAAAAGACAACCTACAGCCATGTGTGGAACTAAAGTCTTTATACCATGGTGTTCCGTTTGGAGAGCCCTCCAGCCTGCAGACCCATCTCTGCAAGCTTATTGGCTAGTTCAACGCTGTTGACTCCACAGTTTGGGGCAACGTTGCCTTTGCAGCGGATGTGAACGTTCATTTTGCAGACTAAGAAAGAAAAGAGAAAAATGAGATAAACCCTAGATAAAAGGCATGATCAGAGAAGCCGACCCTTACTTTTGCAGTGCAGGCCCTGCCGAACTATTCCCCACAGCAGCGAACCACAGTGATCACAGAAGGTGGGAGACTTGTAGTTGTGTATGCTGAACTTGTGAGGGACGTTGATGCTGAAACCTTGAGTTGTATCCTGCAACCACACAGCAGAGACTCAACAAACCAGAACATGTATAATAGGTTAATTCAGAGAAAACATAAAAACAAAAGAAAACAGCACTCTGAAAACAAAAAATAATACATGTTTTGTTTATACATGCCATGTGCAACTTCCAAATATAAAGTCTAAATGAGACACTTTTATAGTCTGTGTAAAAGGTGACTTTTTTCTGACATATCTAATCAGACATGACTTTTCCTGCATTACGACATTCAGAATTACCAAAATGATCTAGATTTTAAAATTAAAATTTAGAGAGAGCACGTTTAGACAACTATATCTTTTTTGGAGTTAACAGTTTTAATATATCCGTGTTATAAATCAGATGTTTTGGGCGCTCCCAAACATTGACTTTTTTGTCCTAAAGCTGGTTTGTAGCAAATTTATCAAAATGCATCTCAGCTTTAACTTTGTTTCAAAACTCCCATTACGTGTTCTTTAGTCATGATGTAATCTGGTTAGCAAAGTGCACCACTTCCTCACACAACATGATGCTGCCAACTCCATACTTCACAGCAGGGATCTGTTCACAGGCTTGCCATATTCTCCATCTTTAATACAAATGCAATGATGTAATTTTGTTTCCTCAGACCACAAAGCTTTTATCCTAATCTTATGCTCTCTGCCCTTTGTAAAATATTTATTCCATATGTTGGATCAGAGTACGGGCTTCTTCCTTGCAGAGTGACCTTTTTAGCCCGTAGTGGTATAGGCCACTTTCATTATTGATTATAAAATCTTAGTAACAGCTATAGACAGCATCTTAAGGTCTTTTGCTTTTCTCTGGTGAATCCATACATTTTCCCAACAACACACATCCCTCTTTGGGACACAGAGCCTGTCTCTGTGCTTAGCAGTAAAACATCACAAACTTCAAGGTATAGTGGAGGATGTTCTTTTCCAGGTGGATCATCAAAATAAGTGGTCCTCATTCTGCTAATATGTTTATGTAAGACCGTCCTTTTGGAAAGTAAGCTTGTATGAGCGATGCAAACAGCAACTTTTAAACAGAGCGTGCACGAGGAGAAATGGGCTTGTGCATGCTCTCGCACAGCGTTCCCTTTCAAGAGCGGGTACAGGAGTTTGCATTTGCATTTTTTTTTAATTCACGAAAATTCTCCACTATAACTTTAAGCATTTTCAGCAGTTAGATTAAAAAAACTGTAACCAAGGAAGAACCAAACTTGTTAAGGTCCTTGATTTTATTCCTGAAATATTTTGAATTTTTCAAGGTGTTTCCTTACAACACATCCACAGCTGAGCCTCCAACTAATCCAAATGAAATAAAATAACTTAAGATGATGATATTAACTTGGAGTTTTGTTTTGACATTTTTAAAAGGCTTGTTATTTTTGATTAATAAGTTAAAAAAAATCTAACTAATCTGGTATTCAGTAAACAGATTTAATAGCTGTATAAATGATCTAAAACATCAAAAGTTTAGAGCAAGAAGAAGTACAAGTGGTATGTGTTTTTTTTATGCAGTGCCTGTGAATACTGAGGTTTAATTGCATTTGCATTCCTGGTATAACTGTGCAAAAAGCCTTAAAGACTGGACGTATTGCAGCAAGCGTTTCAATTACTGCATATGATGGCGCTTTGCAAGGTCCTCAATTACTTCCTTCTCATTTAAAAATTGTCAGCATATAAATATCCACATATCAAGCTCAAAGGTGGCAACCTTTTTATCAACAGCTGTTTTACATGACCCCTGTGTTGTGGATTGTTATGCAAAGCTTGTTGTTGCATAACATCATGACTCTTCAACAACTCTCTGCCTTCGGCTCTGTTTCTTTCTTCTGAGTTATGCTCATGTTAGAAAACACATTAATTGATTATGGCCGCACAAATGAACACAGCTACTATAAGTTAGAAAACCTACACAGACTATGAAGGAAAATACGTCCTTTACCTAGATCAGTCTGCTTTTGTCAGATGAGTTCAAGCTTTTTGTTTCAAGTGAAACCTTACTTTTCGCTTTGTAATATCTACAAGTAGAGAAACTTGCTCTGGTATACTTTCAGGTTATTGATGGGTGTATTAGTAGAGAGATGGAAAGGCATCAAAAGTTCATGTGGGAAAGTTTAGTGAAGTGTGCCGTTCTGGCTCGGTGGTCGGCTCAGACTGAAACAGGAAGCTGTGAAGGCTGCTGAACACAGCAGGTGCAGTGTGGGTGAGCTTGCGTGTGGGAGTTGGGCTGCTATTTTAGGACATTCTCTATTAATTGAAATGTATTCTTAAAATGTTTCCAACCGGAGGGTTGTCTCAACGATCTGTTTAAAAAAAAACTAAAACAAAGGAAGCGCTGCGGAGGTCAACGGGCTGCTGATACCTGCTCTTTGGCCGACTTCTTCATCCGTGGACACACAGTTACAACCAGCTGGTGGCATCGTTTGTGAACTACACACGTACACACTGAAAACACACACATGGTTACGGACACATCTGCTTCATTAATGGACTGTGGCAGTAGAACACGGAGGAAACCAAGCCTGCACACCTTGACACTGGTAGCCTTGTTTTCCAAAAACACCCCTGCAACACAGGAAGGAAACGGTTAGATTTTCTCCAAAATGATTAAATGAAGGACATTGAATTGGGCTGGTCGGCCTCACCAGATGAACTCCTTGCAGTGGAAACAGAAGGTAGGCTGACGGAGGAAAGTGGACATGAACTTGTGTCCGTTGACTTGGTGGATCCTTCGCCTCACGGCGCCCTGCCGCGTCCTTGTAAACTGTTTGTGGGTGTTTTCTTTTATTACTGCAACATCTGCAAGGAGACCAGAAGAACAGTTTGGGAACAAGTGATGGAAAAAAACTGATGTGTTCAATGACTAACTTGTGATAAAAAGAGGCACATCTGAAGTTCTGATTTGCTTTATGTCGGTTTGCATTCAGGACTGTTGTAGAAACAGCTTAATGGGTGAAAGGTTCCCTTAGTGTTAAAACCAAAGTGAAAATAAAGACATGAAACAGAAGCCTTTCCTAGGTTATATAAGGCCTTCGGAGAAACTCAGAGTAGAACCCTCTACCTAAGTCTATTGACCTCCCATTAATACTCTCCACCTTCGATTTCTTAAATTATATCAATGTTGGATCGTATATTCATCACCCCAGTCGGCCTCAGCAGATGGTTTCTGCTGGAGGTTTCTTCCTGTTAAAAGGGAGTTTTTCCTCTCCACTGTCGTTACAAGCATGCTTAGTGTCAGGGATCACCTTCGAGTAAATTAATCAATGCAATCAACTGGTTTTCCTTAGATAGAAAACTTTAAATCATTTTGACTGCACGATCTGGTGAACTGTAAAGTGCCTTGAGATGACGTGTGTTGTGAATTGGCTCTATAGAAATAACCTGAATTAAATTTTACTTGTTTCACAGTTGCTTGTAAGCCTTAATTGTCTGCTGGACTCCTTGAAATGTTCCATCTTATCAACTCGATTCCAGGTGAGTCCAATCTGCACAGGTTAATTCACTCTGCAGATTGGACTCACCCGGTTCAGTGGCTGGGCAGAACAAATATATGACAAAAAGATTACTTGTTGACTCCAGATCCACCATATCTGATATATATATATATATATATATATATATATATATATCAATCCGGTCTGCAGAGAAGGTGATTGGCTGCAATCTTCAATCTCTCCAGGATCTGTCCACCTCCAGGACTCTGAGGCATGCAGGGAAGATTGGGGCTTATCCCTCGCACCCCACTTACGAACTATTTCAGTCACTTCCCTCTGGCAGGAGGCTGCGGTCCATCAGGACCAAAACCTCATGCCACAAGAACAGTTTTTCCCATCCGCTACCAGCCTTATCAACAAGGCTCAGAGACCCCTATGACACTGTCACTGACTCTCTCCCTCCCCCGGTTCAGGTCCTACAAGCTATACCAACGTACCATCTCCACACCTCCTGCATTACATGCATTACTGCCTACTGTGTATATAGTACATAGCAATATACTATATAATATAGTACATTGTATGTTTTATACTGTATATAACTATAAATGCTGTATTCTGTATATACATCTAATTAATCTGCACCATTAACACCAAGTGAAATTCCTTGTACCGGTAAGTCCAAACCTACATGACAATAAATGTAATTTTTATATTATATTATATATATATATATATATATATATATATATATATATATGTAGAGTAGAGATAGGGGATAGATGTGCGGTAAAGTTCACAAGGCCGGGACCCAAACCTGTGACGGCCGCGCGGTTGCCATGTCATGCTTTATCCCCTGACCATCACTGCTCCCACTATTTGTATTTCATTGTTCATATAAAAATTACACATTTCAGGTAAATCTGTCAATATTTTATTTAATCATCAATATTCAGATGGCAAAAAGGCTACTTAAAGGACATTTTATACAGAATTTAAAGCCTGTGAAGCCACTTGAGGAGTTTTGCAAATTGATGGGAAGAAAAAAAAAACAGCTTGAATAGCTACAATTTTGGCATAATTATTGCTCTGTGTTAGAGTCTCCATTATTCTGTAATTAATTACTAAATAAGTTACCGTAACAATTATTTGAATAATTCATTAATCATGATTAAAGATTAATAATTGTTGTAGCCCTACATCATAGTAAAGAACGTCCTTTCAATCCCTAACTGTTCTGAATGTATGTAAGAAATAAGGGTGTGGATTTCAGCGTTGTATTGAGTCATAACAAGGAAAGTCATTCTTTGATGATGCTACCATGTCATCTGAAAAATGAATGTAATGCTATGAATGCAGCCAAGTTCCAAACAGGTTCTGTAATGAACGGGTTTGCTGTTCAAAAACTCGAGAGTAATCATTAGGTCATTTAAAGTTACTCATTTGATTCATTTTTTGCCACTTTCTATGCTTTTTTTCAGCATTTTCATAAAGGGATTGTAATACATTGAGAAGGTTTAACTACACAAATCACATCCATCCCTGCTGCCCTAATATAGCCATTAATTATTTTATTTACTACAGCAAAAAGTGCAGTAAGATTTACTTAAACCACCACAGAGATTTTGAACACAGACGGGGTAACGCCAGTGTCCCTGATTGAGTTCAACCGCACAGGACACAATCAAATGCTTTTAGTGTGAAATTACCGGAATATTATTACCAGTTTCTAAAAGCAGAGGGATTAATAATAATAAAAAAAGATATAAAGCATAATGTGGTACAATAAAATGTAATTATTTGTGGATAATGTTTGAATATAGTTTCTTTTAAAGTGGAACTTCTTGCATTCAGTACTGGGTCTGTAAGTACAGCAGAGCAGAATGAGATGAAAACCACATGAGCTACGGAAACTGAGCCCACACTCTGCCCCGCCAATAAAAGCTGTGATACTTTGTAGGAGGGTGTTGATTTAAACATAAGCCGCAGAGCCTTTGTTATTTAAGAAGTCACCGTATATCAAGATTTAAAACCCCAGAAGAAGTTCTCCAAAAGCTTTTTTTTGAGAAACTTCTGTTTTACCTAAATATACAATCAAGAGAATGTATGCATTATAAGAAAGAACCACTGAACATCTGAGGGTTGAATAAGATTTGATAAATAAGAAACACTGTGGGTTCTTTCAGTTGCATCTTTTGTGATTCATTTAGTTTAACTTGCTCTTTTTCTTGGTAAAATTTAATTTGGGGAAATAAGCTATCGGGTCCTTTTGTTAATATAAACTCTTATCTAAACATCTGCTTTATTTGGCCTTCCTCTAATTTTTCTGCTAGACTTTTAGCCAGAACCTCTTTCATCCGCATGAAATGTTTTCTCTGCACAGCAGAGAATTAAATGTGAAATATTTTCTACATAATGTGCCTACTGGGCAAGTCAACATTTCAGGCACATTATTAATCTGCTCTGGGAGTGTCTAAATATTTACTTTGTTCATATGCAACTTTCCCCATTCCAGCATTAGCTAGTCATACTGTGACTAAACATTATTTTTAAGCAGCAATTTAAGGATTTGTGAGGAAGGCCACTCTCTTACGTTAAGAGAGAAAAAACAACCTTAAACAGAGGGGGTGGTCTCAGGTTTCAGCTCTCAAAAACCTAGAGCGTTAGAGCAGCGTTAGCTATCATCTCAATCCTCATCGCCATGCTGGTGGTCAAAATATTGCGCCTGTTAAAGCCGGGCATATACTGTGCAATATTTTCAATTGTTGCATGCAGCTTCAGCTCAAACTGTACGAGGAAACAGCAAGGCTTAAAGGTCACAAATCAAGATGCATGTTGTTACACTGTGCAGCCCAGCGCTCTGATGCGATCTTACGGCGGCTGAATGAAATTCAAAAATGTTTTATTTTCTCCCATCCTTGCGATTCCTGATCGGGAGGTGGTCACGACGCACCATGAAACTGAAACTCGGCCTGATTGAAATATTCTCGCATGACTGGAGAATCGGCCCGAAAAGGGCAAAAAAAAAAAAAATCGTACAGTGCATGCCCGGCCAATAACACACACAAATGACTGGCCATTACTAAGCGGTTGACCTGTTTTCAGTTCAATTTGCATGTTTTCTAAGCCATAACAAGGCTTTGTTTGGCTACTCTATAAGACTGAAATGCTACTTCAGACATTTTGAATTGAGAAAGCTTCTTGGATTGGAAGCCAAACGTCTTCAAACTTGGAAAACAAAGTCCAGTGGATTGTTTTTAACTTTTTTTTTAGAAAAGCAATTTAAACAACTTTCAAGCTTCAACAGTTTTCTCTTGCATTGAATCCAGAGCTTTAAAATCTGTGCAGTTAAAAGGAGCTTCTTTACAGCAAAGCATGGAGTGTTATTTCATAAAGCTCTTACTTTCCAAATAAAATAGAAAATATTCAAACATTCTTTTAATATTGGGTTTATTGTTTTACCACATGTGGACCCATTTATGTGGCAACATTTTAAACGAACCCCAAATTTCTCATTTAGTTACAAAGCAGTTTTACATTCAAGTGATCTTGATTGTAAACTTCGCATGACTTCTCTTTCAGACTTCTTTAGTCTATTTCTGGATCCTTTTAAGCTCACTCCTTCGGCTAAATAAATAATTCTAACAGTTGTCTCCAAATATAGAAGAGTTAGTTATTTACTGGAAAGCAAATGTTTAATTGGGTATTTCACCACCTAGTTACCTGTCACAAAGACAGTTTGTTTACATTTCTGTAGCTGTGGTCGCAAAAACGGAGCATATATGCAAGGGCGTAGGTTTGATCTCAACTTTGGTAGGGACACTATTGGTCTGAAGTTGAATTGGTCTGATGTCATTGGTCCTACGCATTATGCATGCGCCTATTTTTTTATGCTTGACGTGAGCATCGTAGCGCATTTCGTTTAAAGAGAAAACAGCATTTTTTGCTAAATTTATACAAACTTTATAAGCACTACACACACAAGATACTGTTTATCAATGTTTGAAGCATCAGTGTTTCAAAATAATCTAAAATTGGGACAACCTTACACTTTGAAAAAGGTTACATTTGAACTTACTAGTGACTAAGACGGAAGGTAAATATGTGCCTTTTTAACCAAATATAGTCTAAATATGTCAGTTATATGTGCATTTATCCGGTGTTTTCTATAGGCGATATGCAGAGGTAAACAGAGGTTAAACCCACTCTTATTTTTTTTTATCTGATATGATGATATTCTCTGTATTGTAAAACAAAGCAAAATAACATATTCAAGGGACTGCAAATAGAGTTATTGTATTTATAAGGACGCGGGAACTATAAGAGGAACTGACACTGAGAATTTAAAATATTGTCTTCAATTTACAAGTTATGAGAAAAGAAGTGACTGCTGCAAAAACACTGTATTGTAAATTATAAACATGTTGTTCACATAGAATTATTGGTAGGGATAAGTAGGTCGGGGCAAAATGTTGGTAGGGACATGTCCCTATGGTGCCTATGCAAACCTACGCCCATGCATATATTTATAAAAAAAAAGATCTTGCAGCAAGCAGCTAAATATTAAAGAGCTATAAGCTAAAAACTCAGTTTTATCCATCAGCTGATGGATGAGACATCTCTCACGTCCTTTATAAGAGCTTGTTAGAGTTCTTCCCGTTTTTTGAAAGATGTTCAGAAGGAGGAAGTCCTCGCTGGGTCGTAGTTCTGGGTTCTGATCAAGGCTTGACTGTACACTTCCATTTAGCTATGCAGTCAGTTAACAGCTTTTTTGCATGTTTACAGCTAAAGGGCATTAACTTGGCTCCTCTATCAAACACGTTTTTTCACCATTGTTCAATGTGTGACAGGGACACTGTATTGGCTGCTGCAGCGCCTGATTTTTGTCTCTTCTGTGACTTCACACTCTGTGCTCAGCTGAAACACTTTTCACTAAAGTTTATATGTTCAACAAAAAGTGTAGAGATTAAAAACTATCAAACAGTATTTCTACTCCTTTAACTTGCCCCAAACTAATGTTTTTTTTTAGTGGGGTTTTAGATCCTAGATCAAACATTTGTGATTAAATTGAGTATATCCCATCTCCAGAGTTCAGATAAATAACCAATATAATTAATCTCTCTTTAATTTAATTTCAGTATTAGTCTGAAGATGTTCTGTGTGGGTCTTAGAGGTTCGTTAGAGAAAAACAAGAAGCAATGCTGTGAAGCTTTGAGCCACTAAGGGTGCTCGACTTGTAACTTTCAGGTTTTTTGCCATGAAAGCACCTGGCAGCAACGCACCGTCACAAAATTAAATGGCCTTCCTTCCTGTTAGATTTTGATAGATCAGTTTGGGACAGCAGTCGTGGGGCTACTTGTTAAGAAAAGGAAATATTCTCCCCCCTGCATTAATTCCTAAATCAGCAAATCAGAAATATGTCCAATCGTTTGTTTTGTTGTCTCACAGCAGCTTTAAGCTTAGCTAGCTTTCGTGTTTCAGGGGAACTCAGTAAACCTGTCCAGCAAAAATTGAGTGCAAAAAAAAAAAAAAAAGTTACAAATCTATTTTAAAGTATTAATGATTGCAACGTACAGAACATCTGCTAGCAAGTAAATCCAGCTACAAACAACAGTAATGTAGAAGAAAACCCATCACTTCATGACACAATCATGAAGTGGAACAAAATTTATTGGACATTTTTAACTTCTTTAACAAATAAAAACAAAATAAGAAATAGGGTATGCAAAGTTAGCCCCCCCTTGAGTTGAGACACTGTAGTGCCATCTTTTGCTGCAATAACAGCTGCAAGTCACTTGGGGAATGTCTTTATCAGTTTTGCATATTGAGAGGCAGAAATAGCTGCCCGTGCTTCCTGCACTCCAAGTTTAAGATCAGTGAGGTTGGATGGAGAGCTTTTTCAGCAGTTTTCAGTTCTTTCCAAAGATTCTTGATTGGATTCAGGTGTGGACTTTGACTTGGTCATTCTAACACTTGTTGGAAGATACAGTACATCACTGCTCCAGTCTCAGTTCTTGTGCAGTTTTCTTCCAGAATGATCCTGTATTTGGCTCCATCCATCTTCCTATCAATCTTAACCATCTTCTCTGTCCCAGCTGAAGAAAAGCAGGCCCAAATCACAATGCAGCCTCCACCATGTTTGAAAGTCGGCGTGGTATGTTCAGGGTGATGAGCTGTGTTTTGCATTGTTACCAAAAAGTTTGATTTTGGTTTCATCAGACCTGAGCAACTTCTTCCACATGTTTGCCCCGTCTCCCAAGTGGCTTGTTGAAAACTTTAAATGAGGCTTTTTATTAATATCTTTAAGAAATGGCATTCTTCCATAAAGGCCAGATTTTTGCACTATTGTTGTCCTATGGACAGAGTCTCCCCCCTCAGCTGTAGATCTCTGCAGTTCATCCAGAGTGATCATGGGCCTCTTGGCTGCATCTCCCATTAGTCTCCTCCTTGGTTGAGCTTTAGAGGGGTCTTCCTGGATTTGCAATGGTCTTTACTCCTTCCATTTCAATATTATCGCTTGCACAGTGCTCCTTAGGATGTTTAAAGTTCGGGAAATCTTTTTATACCCAAATCCAGCTTGAAACTCCTCCACAACAGTATCTATGCATGGTGTCTTCCTCATTCTTCATGATGCCCTCTGCACTTTAAAGAGAACTCTCAGACTATCACAGAGCAGGTGCGTTTATATGGAGAGCTAATTACACACGGGTGGATTTTATTTATCATCATCGGTCATTTAGTTCAATATTAGATCATTCACAGATCCTAACTGAACTTCTGGAGAGAGTTTGCTGCACTAAAAGCAAAGGAGCTGATTAATTTTACACGCCCCCCTTATTTGAAATATCCAATAATTTTCGTTCCCCTTCATGATTGTCTCCCACTTGTTGATTCTTGAAAAAATGTACATCTTTTTAACAATTTTATATCTTTATAGTGGAAGCCTGAAATGTGGGAAAAGGTTGAAAATTTCAAGGGGTGCGAATATTTTCGCACAGAACTGTGGTGAAAAAAAAAGGTATCATGGCATCCGATCAGGAGGACGTTATTTGTAGTAATAATCTGCTTTTCAGGCCAGAAACTTCTTCATTAGCCCCAAACTGTTTTAATTCCCTAGTTTTAAAAGCACGCATTACACCATATGTCAGTGCCTGGCAAAAGAAAAAATATTAAATGAAAAATAATCATTATCTAAAGAATAACAACTAGTTTAAGTATTTTAAGTCCAGCTCATTGGAAGCAATTATTTTTTTTTAAATTGGGATGTTTTAGTAAGAACTCGACATTTTGCATTTTGGGACATTGCAAAGTTCTGCTAAAAAGAAAAAAGAAAGCTGATTTATTTTAAGTTTAAACCAGTTAAAGAATCAGCAAAAACACTTTAAGGGAGTTCTGTTCAGCAAGTATGAAATTATAAGTCAGCAAGCAACAGATCAGGACAGCTCAGCTTGCAGAAACTTCTCCTTTATCACTCCCTCAAGTCACTTCCACCCTTCTGATATAAACTGCTTTTTCATGATGATCCAGTCAATTCAATTTGTATGCAAGAGTTTTGAACCATTCTGGCGAGTTAGCTGACAGCTGAGAATACTAGCCTGTTAATAGAAACACACTGTGCTACATATACTGTATGCATGCATGCAGAAGCTCTCCTCAGGGATGTCAGAAACAAGAGTCATCAGCATACCATCAGTGAACGATCCAGTAAGGGTAATAAGGACGTAGACCTTTCCCTCTGGTTCCAAGTCCATCTGCAGACACATAAACACATTGATTTATTATTTATGAACAATGAAACAGGAAGTGGGAAGCCAAAAGACATATTCAGCCTGATAACAGAAGTGTTTATTACTAAAAACTATTTCATTTACAACGTAGAGGTTATGCGTGTCAGAACGCTAAGCTGACAGAGTCGTCAGGTTTGATGTCATCTGCTTCAAACTTTTGTTCTCAGAATCCAAAGACGCAGCTCTACCACTGCATAGTTTTCATTCCTTAGAGTCTACATAACATTGAAAGAATCTGAGGGCCTTTACAGGAAGGCTGTGGCACTGGCCGGGCCGGTCGGGCAGGTTGAAGTGATCTCATGTGCAGCCATGGTTGAAAGTTTAAACAACACAGAGACGGGGATCCTCCTAAATGTAGATACTGATCAGGCAGGCAGCAGAAAATCCACTTCCTACCAAAGCCACTGAGTGGAAACTTGGGGTGTAGCGTGCTTGAAGCAAGATCTATTTATGGTTCATTTACTCTTAGTGGAAAAGAAAAAAAAACTGACATGGCACAAAAGCAACAAACAGATGGAGCTGACTCACGTAACAACAACGTGATTAAAGATGTTTTCAATTCAGTTTTACCCTGCTCCTGTTTTCAGTGTGAAGTCTAGACAGAGAAAAGGCGGCAGAGGGACTTCAATCTTCAAACAGCTTGAGCAATAGGGGCTATTATCTAGAATTGCTCTTCTCTGTCAGGCTGATTTGTATGATGTATACCCTGCCCTGCTTCAAGTAATCAGCTCGGTCAGATTCCTGCTTTGTTTTTATGTATCCATCCGATTTTAATCAGCTTGAAGAGGGCGCTTTCCTTACAGGAAAGCCTTTGGACGACACAAGACTTATTCCAATGTCAGATATTTTATAGGCCAAAGAATAAAAAGAGTTATTTTCAATGTGATTTAAGAAGACCTCAATTTACTGGTCACAGAAATGCTTAGAATGGGGAACATAATTATTTTTTTATATTAAATATACTGTAAAATATTATGAAAAATATTAGGGATGCACGATATTGGGATTTTGGCCGATATCCGATATGCCGATATTTTAAAACTCATGTAGCCGATAACCAATATCGATACCGATGTTAAAGCTGGACAAAAATAAGTAGTCATTGAAAATAGCAGTTTTGCTATCCATTTCTGACACTTTGAAAAATAATATACTCAAATATATTTTCATATGCTGATATCAAATCGATTTTTAAAAACGCGGTATCGATCTATTTTACTTTCAAAATCTCGTGAAATTTCATCGTTCTGTTACAAACTCTCATGATATTTTGCAAATTCTTGTGAGATTTTGTTAGTAAAATAGATCAATACCGCGTCAATATATCAACATATAAAAATATGGCAAAATTTCGTGAATTTTCGGGGGATTTCGTAGCATAACGATGACATATAACAATATTTCATTAGTAAAGAGATTGATATGGTGTTTTTAAATGGCAATATATCAGCATACGAAGATATTGTGATATTTTAATGTATCAATATTTTTTCCCTCGTCTTTAGAAGTTTTTAAGTCTGTAAAAAAGAAGTTTTTAAGGAAGAAGAAGAAGTAGTATTTTTTTTTTTTTTTAGACTTTAGAAACTGAGAAGCTGATCAAATATCGGGTTAAATATCGGTGGGGTGGCCGATGTCCGATATTCAGTTTTAAGGCCGATACCGATAGGGGGCCGATTATATCGTGCATCCCTAAAAAATATATTTTATATATTTATTTTAAAATCAATAGCAGGCAAGTTCCTGAACAATCACTTTAACTAGTTTTAATTATTCTGACTAATATGATCCATAAGGTCGAGAAGCAGAATAATTTTATATTTACATGACTAGGAAGTAAATATATTTGTTAAAATCTTTAAAATGTCATTTAAATAAAGTTATTTTGTCATGTTTATAAAACTCTGTCATAATATAGAAATACTTGCTTTATAAAACAAATCAAATAAAACTACATTTAACCACAAACATGCTGTAAAAAATATATAATCTATATTTAAACATCGGAAACGTCAAATTATTTTTATTGAATAAAACTACACTGTGATTATCGATATTATAACTGGTATTGAATTATTGTCCGACCCTACTTCAATGTCTAGAAGAAACCTGTAGAACAGCAGGTAATGAGATCCAAACTAAACTACAAGCGTCTACTTTCTGGTTGCTGTAATAAAACACAAATCATTGTACTTGCAAAACAGAGGAGCAAATCTTTCTATAACATTTAAACAGAGGTATGAGTGGAAAATGTTGAGGGGTCGTCTTTAACCCACTTTCAGTTTCATTACTCAGAAAAAAAAATTAAAATTGAATGCTGCCGCTCAACTTGCCCTCACAAATCGTTTAATGAAGAATCAATGGTGGGTGGGCACATTTTGACACACAGAGGAGGGAAATAAGTTTAAGATGATGAAGTAAACTGCATGTAGGAGGTGAAGGAAGCTGGCCTTTTGGCTTAAATGTCAGGGGAGTGTCAAGGGTGAAAATAACTGTTTCAGAATCAAAATTAATTGAGCAATTTTCTGAGAAATTCTAGTAAAAAGCTAAAGTTGAACAAAAGCCTGAGCGCTTCACTGAGAGCACAGGGAAAGTAGGGAAACATGATGTCTGGGAGTATCAGGAGGATTGGCATAGAGCTGGACGGGAGCCAACAGAGAAAGCGAGTCGTTTCGCTGAGAGGCTTTGAGAAAAATAATCATCGAGTGGGGGAAAAAAAAAAAGTGTGACAAACAGCAGAGTGGGCGTGTGGAGGCTTGAACCTCATGTATGAAGAGAACCAGCCCCGGCGCTTCGTCTGCACAAAAAAAAACATGCAGCCCATCAAAGTTCAGATCTAGCAGATAGCAACCTCAGGCTTGGGTCTTGAAGTGAGAAAGACATGTGCAGACCAAGTTCCAGTTTCACACCACTTCCTCACAACCAGCAGGGTCTTAAAGCTTGTGTTAGTTTTTATTTTCTGCTAAACATTTCCATTAGCTACGTCACAAAAGCTGCATGTATTTTTAACTTCTGCATAAAATGAATTAGTTACTAAACATTATAAATATAAAACCTGTAAAACCTAACTTTAGCAATTAAAGGAGGAAAAAAAATAGGTGCTTAAATTATTAGTTTACTTTGAGCTGTTACAGTTGGACCTTACTGAGCCTTACTGTCTGTATTGGTTTCCAATAAATGATGCTCTTAATGATGGTATTAGTATTCAAAAAGGAAAAGTTGTTAATGTGTAGTACTTCTGCATGCAAAGAGGGTTTCGGTGTTACAGAGAGAGAAAAAAAAGGAAAAGAAATGTGCAGCCGCTCCAGGCCTGAACAGGTTCAGCTTACACTGCTGCAGTGGCCTAAGGTCCTTGAGGGGTAAAAGTACACTTTAAAAAAAAAAAAAAGGAAACTCTAGTCTGAAGAATTTGCTTCACAGGTTAAATGAGACTATTTTGGTTCCCATCAGGCCCTCCTGCAATTTACAGAAACATCAACAGTTTTAGATTTAGTAGACCAAGCAGCTCTATCTAACAGGGGCTTGTCTGCAGTCTGGAGATGAGATGGAAAAGCAGGTCTGGACCATCTACATGCTCGAGCACTTTGCCACACTTTGAGCAAATGAAGCACCTAATGGGCTGTCATGTGCGGTTTCACACCATGTCCGCTGTTGATTACAGTCAAAGCCTCTAAGCCAATAAATGGAAGACACGACATGTCTCTGACCGCACCACAGTCTGAGACATGAAGGTGATGCTTCTTTTAAGCAGTTTTTAACGTCAACCAGGTCTTTGCTCAGAAACCCTGGGTTCAGCAGAGAGCTGTAAGCATAAACGCTTCCATACAGTCCTTTCGTTTAGGAAGTTAAAAGTGACAAATTGTTGGGTTTTTTTTGTTTCATTTCATAATTTAATGCTTGCAGTTTCAGCTAGTTGCATAAAATAGGACCACTCAGCATTTAGGGAAATATCCTCATCCCAAAAGCAGTGTTCAGTATGGAAGTGATGCTGGATCTTCTGTTATGGTGAATCCCTGAAAAAGATGGCTATGCTCGATCGTTAGAAGGATTCCCAAAAAGAAAAAGCAAAAAAACCCAAAAGAAATGTCATATTTAAGCATCATCATCATCAACTTCTGCTACTTACCATCTGAAAGCTAAGATGCAAATATTTAACTTTAATTCTGTTCTTTTTTTATCACTTATTTAGCTACAACAACTGTTTGGGGCAGAGGGAAAAAAAACTGAAAAAGGGGAACTGATACGACTTACTTAAATTTGCACTTTTTTTTGCAGAAGCAGGTTTGCATCTCTTAGGAGCTCTGCAGAATAAGCTTTAGGTAATGGAGAATAAAGAAAGTTTGACTATATTTTACAAGAATGCTCCACATTAAAGGGGATGAAAGCTCAGCTGAATTTATCGAGCAAACTAATTTGAGGTAATTTAGTCAGGGAAGTCCTGTTTTTTTAGCAATTCTGAAAGAAGTGATTCTTTCAGAAAGTCGACAGGAGGAAAAGAGGAGGAAGACAACGGAGACTAATTTGATCCTCCATTCAGGAGACAATGTCAAATATTCTCTGAATCTGCATAGTTTTTTTTTAGCTTTAACTTTTAAAATTAAGATTTAAGCATTTTTCATAATGAAAGATCCTCTTTCTTTAAGTTATTCTTACAGTAAATTAGACTGATAGATCATCAGTGATTAAGCAAGGAATGAAAAGACCCTCAGAGATTAGATTATTTAGAGTTTAGTTGAATTTGATGCAAACGGTGCTCCTCTTTGGTTTGAGGTATTCTCAAGTGTGAATGAAAACTCTAAAATAAGGAAACTTCAATGTGATATTTGTCTCTATGAATGGAGATCCACTAGAGAGCGACTGGAATCAAGGACAGTTTTGACTTTTTAAATTGGTTGCCCACTGATTTGTCTTCAGATTTCTGTGTTCCTCTGTCCATCTGAGCATTAATGATCCTATTAGCTATTACACCAGACCGAGT